TAACTGGGCATTCCATATGTTTATTTGCTAAATCTGGCAACTCTACAGATACTCAAATTTTGACTAACTGTAAAATTAGTCTTTCCTCCTTTCACTATTGAATATGCCATCTTTAGCTCAACTACAGAATGCCAGGTAGTTATCTACAATTGCTATCTGGAAAAATAACTTTTACCACTTCTCAATGCATGATAGCATGAAACTCAATACTTTTTCAGTAGAAGAGTTAGGCAAATCAGCACAAGTCTGTGTACACATTTTTTTTCTACCAATGAATCATTTGAAATAGCAATATATTTATTTCAGAAGTTAGTTAACCAAAGATGTGTCTATACTGTGCTCGTGTGGCCTATTACAAAAATACTACGCAATATTATTGCTTGAAAGGAAAATAAATAAGGAAATACACACAAGTAAGATTGTTTAAGAAAGCCAAAGGAATGACAAGTGGAAGCAAAAATTGGAATTAATAACAGATCATTCCCCTAGATTATAAACTCTTGCCTATAAATTAAAGTCTTTGTAAATAATTCCCATAGGGTCAGAAATGCTCTTGGGCCTATAAAGTTCTGAACATTTTGGCTAAAAAATAAGAAAATAAATACGTCTTCAAAATACAGTTAAACCTCTTTTTGTGAATGACATCTTATGAGGTTTTAGTGATTAGTATCAGTCAATAATAAAAAAAATTCTAAAATGTGCAATGAGAGAAATGGTTATTTGACTAAGTTAGATTTTAAAAATCAACGTGGAATGCTTTCATCAAACTAGACGAAAGAGATTATAACAACAGGAAAATATGTGAGCAAGATATAGGTATTTAACTTTTATCACCTAACAATATAGAGACTCTGGTCTTAACACAGTTGGTAGGAATTACCCACGGATTGCAAACATTCGTTCTGAAGACAAGTCTGTAACAGTCACTGCTACATAAAACATGGGTAATAATAATACTGAGCTCAATTTGTAAGAGGGAAAAGACGACAGTTATAGGCCTCACCTCCTGAATGTCCTGCCTTTAGCCAAATGTGCTGTTATACAATAAAAAGGATGGATGAATTCTAGACCAAATCATATATTTTCATCTATCCATGGAATTATTTCTCTGTATTCATTCTCTGGGGATAATGTCATTGATCAGAAACTAAAGCGATGTATGTGTTTTAAGGATAGAGAACTCGATCATCACTATAAATAAAATCTCTCTGCTCTTTACTGAAGGGAAATGGGGACAGAAGAGGGCAGGAGAGGATAAGGGAGGAAGAGAGGAAACAAATAAATCTATGGAAAATGGAAATACTAAGTGGAGACACTAAAATATAAACACTACAGTTAAGCATCACTATTAACACAAAACAGGCAGCTAAAACGAAGACTGAAGAGTTAAGTATCTTGCCTAAGGTCATATGATAAACTCATCCAAACATTCAATCTAATCTCAAACCATCAATAAATTACACTTTCTTGATGACCTACTCAACTGGACTTGGCAATACCATAATTAAAATGGTAAAATACTTCTATATACAAAAAAATACTGCATTAAATTTCAATCCGGAATGAAGAGATACCTTTTTTACATGCTACAGCCAAAACGATCTTTGCCATTGGAAAAACAAAACCTGTTTTATTCCTTGGAAAATAAACTTATTTAGAAATAAGTATGGTTTAATGACACTTACTGCTAGAGTAAAAGCTACTAAAATGAACCAACTACTATTATAAATAACATAACTTGTAACTCAGAGAATTATGTATATTCCAATGACTTCCATGGACAGTTCTTTTGGAGCTTTTCATAGGGTTTTGTTAAGAGATACTTACATCAAAACCTGTCATGCAAAACACAAAATAGGGTACAAAGCGATACCATTTCCCAGTAAAAATATGACTCCACTTGAAGCTTAAGTTGAGACAAAAGTTCTTCAAACACAGGTAAAAGCCTTCATGATATTTTTCTACTAAAGCTGAACTGTTTTCAGATTTTGCCATACTCTGAATTACTTAAGTGGTAGCCATACTGTTTTACTATAATATGTGAAAAAAAATGTTTAAGAGTAGAAAATGGGAGTTACAGTAGAAAATCACTTTTAAAATGCAGTATTTGTGCTTTCTATTTTTATTGCCAACTTGTAAGATTTTTCTGTTATGAGTATAGTTTATTTGAAATAGGGGTTCCATAAAAATCTGAACAAAATAAAACTGAGTCTTTGCTGGTAACATGGCAGGTGACCAATAATGTGGATGAAAAAGGAATTTTTTAAGAGAACATGAGAAATGCCAAGAGTTAAGAAACATGTAAAAGAAGAAAAGCAAAATAGACTGAAAAATGTCAATGAGGTGGTAAGAGAGCTAACAGAAAACAACATCACACAAACTATGAAAGAAGAGTTTCCAGAAGGAAGGGAGATAGTAATACCTAACACCCCAGAAAGGTCAGTAAGCCCAAGACAAACAAGCTCACTAAATTGGGCAACTAGCACATCACTGAAGCGATTTTAGCACAGCAGTGAGAAAAGAATCCAACTGCATAGGCTCGGGAAATAAGTGGAAAGTGTGAAAGTGGAGGCAGCGAGCATAAACAGTTCTTTCAAAAACAGTGCAAGTAAACAGAAAAGAAAAGTAAAAGGTAAAGGCAAGATATTATAGTCAATCGAAGCCAAGGAAAAGACGGGGGAAGGATTATTTACACTTCTTTAAGGATGGGGGAAATGGATATGTTTTATGTTTGGGAGAATCAGTAGAAAAGAAATGAGGAGACGACAATTTAATTTATGAGGAAAGATTTTGAAAACTGCTAAGAGAGAAGGAATGAAAAGAAGAGGAAGATGCAGCCTTGGAAAAGAGCTAGGACATTAGTTCCACTGAAACAAAAGGAAGGTCGAGATGAGTGAAGATATCAATTTCCAGACTGCCGATACTCTAAACTATTCACGTGGTAAAGCAGGAGAGGTCATCTGCTTAGAGAGAAGCAAGAGGGCAGTCTGAATCTGACTGAAGAACCCCCTCCGTGAATTAGATTAGCAGAAGTAATTATAAAAGAAGGGTTTTATTGTGTTTGTTTTGTTTTGTTGAGGAAGAGTAGCCCTGAGGCTAACCTCTACTGCCAATCCTCCTCTTTTTGCTGAGGAAGACTGGCCCTGAGCTAACATCCGTGCCCATCTTCCTCTACTTTATATGTGGGATGCCTGCCACAGCATGGCCTGATGAGCAGTGCCATGTCCACACCTGGGATCTGAACCGGTGAACCTTGGGCCACTGAAGCAGAATGTGTGCACTTAAGTGCTGCGCCACTGGGGCTGGCCCCATTATTGTGTTTTTTTAACACACACTCCACACAAATCGCTTATTTTTAAATGAGTCAAAGATAAGGGGACTTTTTCAGAAATATCGTTTAGGTCCTCAAATTTAAATACTGAGAAGATATATCAGGGAGTGAAAATGGAAAAGAGAACTTTTTTCCAAAAAAAGCCTCAACATCATCTTTCTATCTACAATAGAAATTTTAGCACCTTAAAAGTTAAGTGGAGCCTTAAAATATCATTACAGAAGAAATATGTCCTCTTTTCTCATTTTCTACACATACACAACTTTGCATTAGGATTCTACTTTGCACTTTCTATGAATACTGGTATAAATCAATACGAACAGTATAGTGTTTTAAAGAACCTGAAATATATGACATCACGCTACGATATCCTTGATCAAATAGGAATCCATGAAAAAGGCAAAAAGGAGTAACCATAATAGCTCCATTTATTAATTTCTTACCCTGAGCCAGACACGGTTCTAAGCGCTATTTGTACTAACTCATTCAATGTTTACAACAACGTTTTAGATTACATAATTATCCCAATTTTACAGATGAGAAACCTACCTAAGAAGATTCAAGCAATCTGGGGCTCTCTAGCTCATACTCTAATTTCTAGGCTAGAGTACATACGATATAAAGAGCCCTGAGGTTGAAATAAGAAGATCTGGCTTCAAATCTAAGTACTTACTAGTTGGTTGACTCTAGAAAAATCATGTTCCCTAATCTTAGTTCCTCCTCAGAATAACAATCTGTCCTGCATAACTCACATGTTAGCTGTGAGAATCAAAGAGACAGGTGCTTTTATAAACAGTAAATATATGTCATTATTATTAGGAAATAGCTGCTAGGTAAAATGCATATGGCATTAACATCATTTTCTGAAGCCTATCAGAAATTCTCACACCTTAATTTACATTGCCAGGGCTTATATTCAAAATAAATAACTTTTAAAATGCAGCTTTCTAATTGTTTTCTGCCAGCTTCTCTTACTAATTTACTTACTAATGAAGATAGACAAGTTATTTAATGGGTTCTGAAGTTATGTTATTCACCTAAAAAGTGGAAATAATAAACCCCTCCACACACTTGCTGAAGATCAGTTGAAACAAAACCTGTACAACCTCCCCCGTAGCACCCCTGGCACAAAAGACAGCACGGTGATTGGTTTTGTTATCATTAGCCTATCATTCAGCAGAATCACAAAACAAACCCAAAATATAAAGGGGTGTGCGTGTGTAAGTTTGCATATGTGAAATAATTCAAAGGTTCCTATACAAATCCACAGACTGCGGCAACTTGCCCTCCATCGTCCATGCTGCATCGACCCTGCTAATCTAACATAACAGCCAGAATGTCTTTATGAAATTTTAATTGAATTAAAAAAAAAATTTTTTTCTCCTCATTCCCCTGGTTGCTCCTTTCATCTTCATTTCTCTCTCAGTCAAACCCTGGTCAGTCTGATTCTTGCTTTGTGACTACTCTCACCATCTTTTGAAGCACAGAACTTTGAATCTACTCTTCTGATAAACCTAAAACTCCTGCCATTTTAGGCAACCATAACTAGATTTCTAGACTTCTCTTTCCCGGAATAAGTTCTATCACATCAGTTCCTTATTAGAGTTCAAGATAAGGTTAGTATACAATGCTCTATTACATATCTTTGTTTTAGTACAAGCATACTGACCTTGAGGTGAGACTGAAGGAAACGGCAAATCCAGGAAGAAAATGTGAAAGAGAAAGTTAGAAAGAATTAATAAGGACAATATTTGGAAATAATATTATTCACAGACAGACAAAACATAAAGCACAGGATTAGAGAAGGGGAAGGAGTCATACAGATTCTGCACAGGCACTAAAAATTAGCAATTTTAGATTTTCAACTCTCAATAAGTATATTTTCATATTAGATTACACCACTGTACCTTAATATAAGTTTCTAAAGGAAAAAATTTTGTCTAAAATTTACCCTTCCCTCAGGGGGTGAAAAAACTCATTTCTTAAACACAAATGAAAAGAAGAGAAGAAGGTTAGCTGCTCACCTTTTCACTAAAGCAGCTAATTGTGATTTCATAACTTTTGTCAGCTTAATTTTATACACACCCACCTTGGCTAATCCTTTACCCACCCTGCTCCATTTCTTGGATCCAAGTTATCCATGAGCAAAAGCAAAAAAGCAATGACAGCTTCAGTTACTCTGTAGAATACAGAACTCTTATTTTCCCAACAAATTTGAGATAATTTTCTCAAATGTGAGAATAATTATTTTTTTAATTTTAACCAATATTTTTCATTCCAAATAACCAAAATCCACCCCAAATGGTGCAATCTAAAAGCAATAATGAAGAATATGTGGGTCTATAAACATCAGTTCACTTCCAACACTGCTCAGCAGTAAGAGGTGCCAAGCAGCTATGCTTAACACAGCTACCCAGCGCGCAGCCCATGCTCATTACTTCTTCCTGTAACGACAGGCAGAGGCAGTGTCACCTGTTTACAAATTACTCACTTTCACTGAAATGAGGACTATCCTCCAAATATTTAGACTTCTTATGGCCAGTGCCATCCAGATTGTCTTGAGGATCTAAATTTTACTTTAAGTATCTATAACAAGAGGTTTTTTCTTCAGTGCAAGCACCATTTCAATTTGTACTTTAATGTTTTCTAATGTTTCAGTACTTAAAAAGAGAATTTACAAAAGTCATTTTGAGAATAATGAAAGGTAAGGATGACAAGATTTATTATCCCCATTATATAAGGTAAAGAGATGAAAAACAGAGCAACAAAACACTTCCTCATAATCACACAGTGAGTATGCGGTAAATCCAGGATAAAAATGTAGGTCTGCTGACATATCACCTGGGCATACCTCACACGTTCTATGATGGTTACAGATTCCTAAAGTGAATCTACAAAAATCCATGGATCTTTGGCACATATAAAACAGTGCAGAATGCAGACAATGTTCAAAGTAAAAAGAGGCCAATCTCTAAATGATTGTTCCCAATTATCTTTTTTATTATTGTTGGTTATGACACAGTAAGTTAGAATAATTTTACATCAACAATGACACTACCTGAAATCTCCTATAGATTTATATAAGACACAGATATATCCATGGGGGAAAAATTAATTAATAATTAATTAAATTAAATTAACTACACACCACTCATCAAGCCATTCTGTGGCAGCATCCCACATACAAAATAGAGGAAGATTGGCACAGATGTTAGCTCAGCAACAATCTTCCTCACACACACACAAAAAACTAATTTATTCTTCTTTTAAATGAAATCAGTGAAATTCATCAAGGAAGAAGAAGAAAGAAAAAGCAGCTTCCCTGGAAAGCAAGCTGAAGCAAGCAGGATCAGATAAAGAAGCAGTCATCTTCAGTTCTAATACTCTCAGCATCTTAGTTTTCACTTTTTTTTAACACAGCCCATTCTCTCTCGAGGAAGAACACACAACCACCACAGCAGCAGCAAACATTTCTCCTCAGTTCACTGTACTAAGACCATATTCTCTGACACTGTACTTCATCATGGATCAAAGACACAACTATAATTTAAAAGTAAGGAAATTCTTCTCTAAGGAACCCTTTTCCTCATGAATTGTATACTAGATTATGCCAAAGAGATAAACCAGCTTAATATTCATTTCTATATGGAAGATCTTTGAAGACATTAAGTTGAATATCAATTCAAGCTTTCTTTACGGAAAAATATTTACAAATATGAAAACTAAATACGTAGGTTTATATTTTCAGGTTATACTATGCCACTGATGCCTGAATATACTGTGATACCAATATAAAATAATCACAAACAGAAAGCCTATTTTTCCAATGAAAAGGGCCAAAAAAAGTTTTTAGGTCAACTTAAATAAATAAACCATTATTTACGTATCACTAAGAAAAAAATTATGCCAATGAAATTATATCATGCTATTATTTATACATGTATTCCAGTTTCAGAGACGTTAAAATGTAAAAAGAAAATTTAGAATTGGTATTTCATTGTAACAAAAGAGGAAAGAGGTTATCTAACTCTGTTTAACCAGCAGATCAAAAAGTAATCCCAATGAATTACATTAAATTATATAAGAATATTCTATGCAAGGACAGAATGTGACAGATACTCTAAGAAAAGCACAAACAAAGAAAAGAGAAATTACTACATAAGGAAGGTCAGTAAAGGTTGCTTTTGGTTTTTTCCCCAAAAGATAACTGTTAAAAGGGGTTAGATTTCCACAAATGAATAAGGGGAAAAATAATTTTAGTCAAAGAGAAAAGAATAAGAAAAAGCAGACAGGAAAAAAGCATTTATCTTCTAATTTTGAGGTCCATTTTTTAAGAAAACAGTTAATTCTACTAAGACTATCAAACCAGAGATTGGAAATATCATCCTCTAAACTAGCTCAAGTTTGCCAAAACATTTTAGAAGATTTATGAAAAATAAAAACAACTCCATTTTCATTACATAACATTTCAGACAGTAGTAATTTTTAAAAGCAAAGCAAAAACTCAAAAAGCAATATCCCTTGAGCCATAAGATTTAAGCCTAGCAACTATCTTCCCTAATTTCTCCAAATACCACCAGCAAAATTTTCTTACACATACACACGTGCAAGTAATACCCCAGATTAAATGTCACTCCTGACATGATAGGAAAATGACCTCATTCTTTGTGTTCAAGCTCAGTTCAGTATGTTGATCCTGATCTACAGAAGTATAGAATCCTCTCACTTACCAAAATGAGTTCAAAAGTTACCAGTTTAGCAGTTCAGACAGTTAATTCAGGAGCTAACTAGTCTTAGCCTAAATTCTGAGCAAACTTGGAACACCTTTGCTTTAAAAAAAAAAATCAACTAAAGTAGCTCCAAATCTTATAAACAGATCATGTACCACTCTTTCAAATAAGGCCAGTTGTTTATAAATCAGAATGTAGTTCCCTTGGGAACAATATCATAAATACAGGTTAGGTTTTCTTGCTAGTCCATAAAATTTACTTTTAACCATCATTAAAAGCCTAGAACTAATAGTTCTAGGTGAGGTCTGGAAAAGATGGTTAGCAAAGAAAATATAATTAACCATCACAAAGTGGGAAAACTAAGTCCACCATTCTAACTACTTACAAGACTGCACCAAGAATGTGTGTGTCTATATATTCATGTGTGTGTGTGTGTGTATGAATGAATAACAAAACTGCTCTCTGGTCCTCTTGCGCTCTTCAGAATAGTCACAGTAGCAGTACAATATCCTGGCTTTCCCTGTCCATTTCATATCTCTACCGACATCAGAGTTCTTGGACCTCAAACTGGCAGTCTAGGATCCAAAATTACCTACTAGCTTTCCCATCAAATGAGCTCTCAAGCCATTATCACTTAATATTGGTCTCAAAAACTAAAAGACCAGACTTAAGAGTCCATAGTTCAACAAGAAGCCCCTTCTCTATGATAATCCTACATCTTGGGGCGCACATTAATTATGTTAAGTATTACTTCCCAGGAATTCAACCAGACCTTAAATTGAAACATCACTGAAACTTCTAGCTACTGGACAAGCTGTGGAAGAATGCCTCTGCCAGCATCATCTACAAAAGAAATGACAATAGCTGCTCTTTATTGGAGTCTTAATCTTCTGGGACCAGAACTATCTCTTCACTGAGTCCGAAGTGACATAATGGCTAGGAGTCAGACGTGGAAAAACTGGCACCTGGCAGCAAAGCAACTCACATGCCAGTTCCAAAGCATTTGTCCTCTAAGAGGGCACTCTAGCATGTGGGAAAAGCCTTTGGCCTCGGCAGGATACTCAAGTGAGCAGCCTCTGAATCATCTAGCTTGTCTATATCCTTATCTTGTAGAAGGTAGGTTCATCAACGAAAACTGAACACAGGAGGTTCAAAAGGAGAAAAAGTAGAAGAGACGGATTCTGGAATTCTTTGGCACAACTCTGCTATCACCTACCTACTTATGTGATACAGGACCAGTCATTTAATCTCTCTGGGCCTCAGCCTCCTTATCTGTATATAAAAAAAAATCTATACAAGGGGGCACCTTTCTTCCTGCAAGTTTTCCTTATGAGAAAATCGTTCCCCAGAGGCCTCTCTGTAGTTTTCCCCTCGAATCACATAAGGATAATAGGCTCAGTGTGTAACTAGTCACCGAAAAAGAAAGTTCTATTACCTTGACTGACTTAAATGAATCAGGATCTACTCCTGGATCTGGGAGTTGCAGGAAACTGCAAAACTTAGGACTGTGTTAGGATTGACGAGAAAATGGATGTTTGGTTGGTATAATATAATTTATTCTCAACTCCAAACAAAAAAAGGAAAGCAGAAAACTAAAACCTGAGATAAAGTTAATTTAAAAAATGGTTCTAAGACCTGTGGTGCCCGGGGCTAGGGATGGGAAGACATCTGCTGCACAGTGCTCTGAGAGAACCTCTGGCAGTGAAAGAACGTGCTGGATCTTGACTGTAGTGGTGGTTACACTGGTGTGTACATTTATCAAATCTCAAACAAAAAGCTTAAAATGGGTACATTTTCTTGTATGTAAATTGTACCTCAATAAAGTAGGTTTTTTGGTTTTTTTTAAAGGAAAGTACTTTTTTTTTTAAGGTATGCTTTTTGGTGAGGAAGATTTGGCCCTGAGCTAACAACTGTTGCCAATCTTCCTTTTTTTTTCCCTCCTCCCTGAAGC